CCCTCCTATACATCTATTCCTGGGTATGTGGTGTRTGTAGGAAAGTGTGTGAATCTTTATAAAAACACATTAGCTCTCTGTGAAGTAAATGTGGTTTTTGTGTTTATTTTCATCAACACTTTAGGTTCATGTGCCCATTAGGTGCAGGTAGTAAAGCTAGGTGTTTGTGCCGCACACACTTTTCCTCACAATCCAAAATGCATCAAGACATATTAAGACTCTTACTGGTGCTAAAACACACTGGTACGGTGTGTATGTGCCCACGAGGCTGCACATACACACACATAATCCCTCATAAATGGAAACGGTGATTATGCATTACTGACAAGAGTCATTGGTTATGCTAGACAAGAGTGTGTGTGTATGTGTGTGTGTGTGTGTGTGTGTGTGCACACTTGGCATTCATTAAGCAGAAACAAAACAAGCGGCAGCAGCTGAGAGTGTGTCTTGGCACAGACAACAGAGAACAGATTCAAAGAGACGAATCTGGGGTTCAGTGAAGTGAGGGGTGAAAAAGACAGACAAAAAAAACAAAAGGAGCAGAGAAAAAGAGTGAGAGAACACTGCAGGCGAGTTAAAAAGTCTAAGAGGGGCTCTCAACTCGTGATCTACACTCTAACCACACGTTTGCGCTGCTTCAGCACACGGCTTAACGACGAAACAGCATCGCTACTGGAGAGGGAAACTTTGYTAAAAAAAAAAWCATTTTAACCACGTAATGCCAACATGGAAAGTGAAAACTCTTTGGGGAAGAGATGAGATAATTGGATGAATCATCTGTCCAACAATAAAGAACAAACTAGGCAGAAGAATTAAACACTAACAACACAGCTCTGGATCAGTTAATGTTGACTGTGTTCACACACAAAACTCCTTTTTCTAATCAGGTTTAAAAGCTCAGAAAAATCCATCTGCCTTGCCAAGGCTCAGCTGACAGCACATGCACCCTTGCAAACAGTGTTTTTGTTTATACTTGACACTTACGTTGGTGTAGTACAAGTAMACGTGGCTATACTTCATAACTTCTGAAATGTAAAAAAGGAGGAGAAGCTTGACTGACTAAAAGTACTTGCTTGGAGCATGGTGCGCGTAGGCTGTGCAGAGTTCAAATAAAAAAAATTAAATTTGGAGGTGCACTAATGGGTGCCAGCGGGGGGCAAACAGGAAGGGGTGGGGACGGTGTGATTGCGCCATTGGTGTTCAACATGTCAGCTATAAACCTCGTTTTAAACGGTCAACGTGCTCACCACTGTTAAGAAAATATTTATATAAACAGCAAACCCCAGAAAGGTTTTCACACAATTTATATATAAAAACTAAACTATAATTAGGGTTTTAATAAATCATAGCTTGAAAGTCATKTAAGAATAAAATTATTTTAAAAATCAGTGACTCGTTTTTATTTGAGATGCTGACTAAGTGTGAAAACTATGACTGCTTTTAAGAGGAAATTTCACTAGAAATTAAGACTGGAACCATACCATGAATGAGTAAAGCTAAAAATATATATATTTTCTAACAAATACTTGATTTCAGAAACAGAAGGATCATGTTTAGTGATAAATAATACATTAATTTCATCATAATTCTAATAATGAATACAAACAAAAGTGCTGGGCTGTATCTGGGTCAGTAAATCATGGCAAGCGTGTGTGTGTACATGTTTTTGGGGACAATTTTTGACTATTTTCCTGGTACACACAGCCTGATGGGGGCCCACTGCTCCATATGGGGACAAAAACTGGGTCCCCATTGGGGGAAATATCATTGGTGGGTCAGGTGGGTTAGGACTAAGGTGTGAACTGAGTTTAGGCCAGATTTTGGGTCAGGTATGTACTGGGGTGGTTATGTTTAGGGTGAGGGGTCAGAAAAGACCCATGAGAATAGAAGAACAAACATGAATGTATGTGTGTGGGGGACCAAAAATTGGCAGTGGAACCTCACTGGGAGAATATGGTCATGCTGGTGAGAGAGGCCTACAATGAGCTGGCGAGTTTGACGGCATGTGCTGCCAGTCGTTCTACCGATCTCAGGAGCATGGGAAGGCAAACACAGGGCTGATCTCAAAGAGTTCTAAAGCTCGGTGCTTCCTGCCAAAAATCACCCGCACCTGTCCTTCCGTCTTTGCTGCCCCACCCAGCATTTCTCTCCCGGTCTAGACTTGATCCCTTCATCTTCTCCACACAAACTTCCTCCTTTTCACTCGGAGCTGGACTCGGCCGAGGAACGCCTCTCCCTCCTCGTCTGTTTTGTCTGCTACCAAAAGTAAAAAGCTCCTGGCATCATCACAATTAGTTCTGTTTAGGAACAGAGCAGAAGACTCAATGCCAGGACACTAGAGTCATCATTCATCTACGTACATAAACACACACATGAATACACAAAAGCTTTTTTTTAAAAATATGCATAGGACATTGCAATTGACTGGCTTGACTTCATTCATTTGCATGAGATAGAAAGCATTTCTTCATTCAGACTCGCTGTTTTTGTGCATTTGTGAAGTGATAAAAGCCTCTAAACAGGCTGCCCTGTAATGAACTGTAATCAGCACAGATCACAAATAAAAAAGGGTGCAAAAATTTTTTTTATGTAAAACAAGGGCTCTATGCTTTGCTCTCATTTTAGCATTACAAGCATCTACCTGAAACTATTTACACTCCATCACACCTACCCTACCTTTGCTTTGAATATTCATAGGAGAGTTGGTTTTTTCCAGTCCTATAGGCAGGCATTTAAATATCAGTTCAGTTTTCCGACACCTTTCATTTAGTGATGCCTCGTGACACCACGCCAACCTTTGTTTGCTGAGACTTAACCGACATCTACATCCATTAATGTATTTTTTTTTTTTGTAAATTTCATAAACTTTCATTAGCTGCAATTATTTTATGAAGAATAAATAGTGCCGGCTTGGATAGAGGAGGTGGGTATTACAGCATCAGCAGTTGCTGTGTGTTGTCACAATCTCTGCTCCCGGTCCGGTGGTAACTTTTTTCTTTACGTAAATTTCGTAAAATCCATCATAAGTGGAGTGAGGGGCATTCTTAAAGTGTCAATAGCCTCTGGGCTCACTTGTTTCTTGGGTTTTTTCTGAATGATCCAAGGTGGACAGAACAGGCATCAGTCCTGGACTGAGCTGTCTTATGAATGAGGCYACAGCCATCTTTTAAAATCCTACCTAAACGCCTCCCTATAGGTTTACAGCTCTTTAGTCCTACTGAGGTTTTTCAGGGGCGCACTTGAAACGATGAGGTATGAGGTGAACTTGTAAAAGTCAAAGTTACAAAGTCCYACATTGAGGATCAGGACAGACTGCTGCTGTTCAAACCACCAAACAGTCCAGAGCGAAAACATTGTCAATGCACACAGGAGATCAGATCTATTTTTAGTGCTGCTCCATCACAATCAGACAGCTAAAAATCAGAATTTAGAGGCAAATATGAACTCTTTGTTAATGTTTTTAGTCAAGTCTTATTTTCTTTTATTTATAGTAAAAAAAAACATTTCCCCATTTTTGCAGCTCTTCTTCATTTAATAATTAAGCCTTTATCATTTTTATAAATTCTAAAGCCTCGAAAGGAAAATTATGTTTTGACTTTAGCTAACAGCCTCCTGAAACATTTAAATGAAGTCGGTCCCGCAGACACCTGTTTCAAAGCCAGGTAGGCGAAAGCTTGTAATGACCACACTGAGATTTTGAAGCTACAGTATCAAATGACAGCTAGGAGAACTCAGGCAGGTGCTTGACATGCAGTGAATGGAGCCAGTATGCTCATTACAGAAAGACATCTGCTGCAGTCCAGCCCCCCGCTTTCCAACCCAGACTCCCCCCTCCAGCTTTACACTGATGTTTGGATGCCCTATTAATGTGTGTGAGGGGGGCCAGCGGCTGAACAAAACCACACACACACAACCGAGCAGGCGTGCATCACTCACACACACACACCTGCCACCAACAGCAGCCGTCTGCTTTAGGGTGAAAATATAAGAAAAATAAGCCGATAGTTTTCCTGCAAAAACAAAGGAGATTAAATCTAAATGAAGGGTTTTTGTAGCAAATGAGAAAACAAAAGCTTTAGGACACACCATGGCTTTTAATATTACTGGAAACTCCGTTAACCCTAATTTATTGGAAATCAGATTTTTCAGGTTGTTGTTTCCAAGCTCAATGCATTAAAAGCATGTCATTTTCTACATATTCCTCTAATGTTTGTCAAGGCCTGCAGTTATTTATTTATTTGTCTTTGGAAATTACTTATTTTTCACCAACATAATTAAGACAATAAAATATGAAGGCTGAAAATGAACAGCTCATTGTTTTAAACTGCAACCGTTTAGGAAAAACAGCATTTTCCCCAATTGATTAATCCCTAATTGTTTAAAGYGTACTGTGCAATTGGGAATTCCAAKGTAGAAATTTTTCAGCACATTTTACACTGATTTGCCTAATATGCCACTAAGCTAAAAGAAACTTGTTAAAAAATWAAACGTTTGAATGTAAAATACTGAAGGAGCAAAAGGAAGAGCTTTCTGAGGAGAAAACATGAAAATCTGACAGAGGGGATGCACACGAGCAGTTTATAAATCAGGGCAATAAACAATGTTGCACTAAAACACTTTGAAATGATTTTTCCTAGGGATGCTGGAGTGTATACAAGAGTTATGATTAGAGGGAGCTAATAAATTACAGAAAGAAAGAGAAGTGGAGAAAAAGAGGAAGATAAACCGTGGGTGCTTTAAACAAAGAGCAGAACTTGAAAGGAGRCCGGTCTCGTGGGTAAACTCGCGAAACCTCAAAATTTAGGAAAAGTCCTCACAACTCGGCCGCATTTGACGTTTATATCTATTGTGCCGTTTCTCATCAGACTCAAAATTAGAGCAACAGGACGACAAATAAACACGAGACCAAAGCAGAAACTACAAGTCTCTGTGTTTTTTTTTTTTTTTTTTTAATTCAGTGAGACAAAAACAGAGTTTGTGATCTGTACAAAAATACACACCTCTTTTTTGCAGGGCTGTCCTCGCTGTATTTGTTGCTCCCATGCAGGCCCTGAGAGCGCAAGGACCCRTCTTCTTTGTGGATGCCCTTTGACCCCGAGCCGTTCAGCTGCCCATTGGCTAGGGAACCTAAAAACACAAAAGGATAAAACAGTTGAGCRTCTGACCACAACCGAAGATTCATCCACTTGTTTAAATCCGTTCGACACGAGGATTTTAGATTATTTCAAGTCATTTAATCATGTCTGGATTGTAAAACTGCTTTTATAGGTTTTGTCTTTGGGGAATGAACTGTTTATCTGACAGTGTTAATAAAGCTCTTTGTTGTTTGTTCTTGATTTGCTGCAGTGATGGAGGATAAACAGGGAATATTTCTTTTGATACGATTATAGAAGCTCTAGTTTGTTTGACAGTGCAGAAAGCCTTGCAAAAAAAGGAAAAACATGCAGTTGTAATAATTCCAAACAAAAGAGAAAAAAAAATACTTTTGAGCCAAGCACATCTGCAGTCAATGTTAAAACTGCAGCAAATCTAAACACATTCACAGAAAAGTCCGTCATATCTTGCATCGGCACATTTCTTTCAGCATCACAAGGCCCAATTTAGGAGAAAAGGAAAAGCGACTTATTTGTTTTTAAATTTGCATTTTCTCCTGCTGGTCACAGCTGTTGTTGCTCACCGAGTCGACATAGRTGATGTGTGGCTCCTAACAAAGGGTTTTTAAAAAAATAAATAAATATATTAAAATCCAGAGGCAGTGTGAGAAATGGAGAGCTTTTCCTGGACTTGACATTCTCAGCAAGTCGAACCGAGAGGGCCCCGATTAAAAATTTAGCAAGCAACTCACACAAACAAACGCAGGCCCCTGACAGAGTTTTAAATGGAAAGGAACAAAATTCAAATGAGGTCAAAGAGCGAGGCAGAAGTCAATAGTAATTAAGACAGACAACTGGATTTAACAGGTATCACAGGCTTGATTTTCTCAGGGGCAGTTCTTGTAATTCTTGAAAAGCGTCAGTCAGAAGCTTGTCGGACTCAAAGTGAGCAAATCAACTGGGGAGATTTCAAGCAAGCCTGGTTACTGCAAAGAATAATGAAAAGGAGGCTAAGTGGGGATACAACGGGACACTGTATTTTCATCTCTCACAAGTTTCAAGGACTGCGAAGCTGAAAGATGAAGATTTAGATCTAGGAGAGAAGACTGCAGCAATTAAACGTTTGACGTGTTTTAACAAAAATGGACACAACTTTCATTTCTCAACATAAGATGATCTAAAACTCTGGCATAAAAGGCAGAAGGAGATACGCTTCCCTTCCTTTAATTTGACAATTGTTTGTGCCTTAATGGTGCTCATTAGACACAGACCGAAGATGACTCGCAAGATTTCRCTGTCGCACCCACGAGTCACGTTTTTGACCGCTAATTTGTCAAGACTTCTGAACACACTTAAATTCTGTTTCACTGAGGATGAATGTGTTACTTAACAGTGATAATAATGATGGTAATAATAATAACTYGACTCCCATTCAAAGGATTACAACAGCAGAGAGCCGGTTAGAATAGGTCCAATTTAAATTATATCCTGTTTGTAAAGTTGCTACTGTTGAACAAGTCCAGGCACCGTTTCATCTGGGAAAGATGAAACTGGGAGTAAGTACAASACCTAATGATAGCACAGGAGACAGGAAGAAGATAAATGATTTTGAAGTGAGTAAAAAGACATCTGAAACATATGATTTAACATGTTTATTGCTGTGCTTTGAGCCAAATGAATACACACAMGCACGCACATTCACTTTATTGCATAAACACCATTCAGTTTGCTCCTACATGCAGGGCAGGTCAGTACCTGAACGCAGAGGTACATTCATCAYTGCGGTCAGAGTTAGAAAAGGCCAGCGTGATGACTAAGGTTATTGCATTGCTAGCAATGCTTTAGGTTGGTACTGAAAAGCCTAAAGGCTGGGAAGACTAAAAAAAACGGAGATGAATCACCACCTTAAAATGTCTTGGTTGTCACGGAAAGCTCGTATTTGTGGGCCTTTTATGAATCGACGGCTTCCCTTAACGTCTTTTGAAGTTCTCGCTCAAGAAAAAAAAAAGGCACGATTTATTAAAAGGCAGCAAAATATGCAACTTAAAACTGACAGCGCTACAAGTACTGTATCTATGAAAACTATGGCAACAAAAATGAAAAAGTTTATGTGCCTTTTGAATCTGAACCAAATGCAGCCGTAATCCTTTTTTGAACTAGCTCCATGTGATCCAACAGGTAATTAGCARTTTATTTCCCTGATAATCTATAATGAATTGTTTGCTAATCTATATAGGTACAGTAGGTTTGGACCAACACCAGATGAAAAAACAACAATAAAAAAGTATTTTCCAAACTATAAGTTGCCCTTTTTTCAAAGTTTGAGCGGCCCTGCAACTTATACTTGGAAAAATAAGGTGTGTAAATCAAAAGATCATATCATGAGATTTGTTTTTTAAATTGTTCTCAAAAATTATAGGAACTGTTTTAAAAAAACTAATCATCAATCATATGACATACCTAATTATTTAAATCCTAGCACTAAAAAAAATCATGTAGATAAAATAAAAATAGTTGGTGCTATGACTAATGCTAAACAAGACTTTTCTCACTGCTGTTTTTAAAAGGAATTTATTGAAGAAAAAWATAAATTATATTGTAAAAAGGAAATAAAATTAAGACATTTGCTATCTTTAGGTATAAATAAGATAATTACCAGGTTCCAAATTCTTCGACGCACAAAAATATGTAATGTCGTTTAAGGTGATGTCAYTAAACTCGGAAAGAACTATACTACAAAAACAAGGATGAGTGATATTCAGTATTATAGATTAAAGATTCTGCAGCTATTTTGTGTATGCAAATTTTCTGCTCTTTTTGCAACATAAAAAACAAAAGATGGACATTCTTGATTGTGCGACCATAAGAAAAAAATCTTATCAAATTTTGGTTAACTTATTAAACTCGTGAAAAATGCTAAAAATATTCCCATCTCAAATTCTGGACAGTGTTTTGCCAATAAAACCCACACCAGAGCGAGAACAAAACAGCTCATTAACTTTAATTGTGCTCAAAAAATGACTGACACGCATTGTCCCCAGAGAACACAAACAAACAAGAACAGGCCCGTTTCAACAGCCTCTCGTCTTTTTCCCATCCTGGCCCTCAATCTATCTTCCCTTATTCCTCCAAAGACTTGTCTGWCATATGCTGGTTGCACTTCAGTGCCCATTTGAGGGGCAGAACTGGGAATCCTGGAAAACCAGAGGACTTGGGGATGGGCGAGTGCAGTAGAGAACCTGGAAACCTTCCCTTGAACTCCTGGAGCGGCAGAGATGGAGCTGCAGCACGCCATCCCAGAAGCTGGTCCTGTGGGGGCGGGGTCTAATCAGATTTAGCCCTGCTTAACTAAGCCCATCGCTGCGCTACGTTCACCTCAGTGTCTCGAGAGCAGKGGGGAGTTAACAGATAGCATAACATGACACATCTTAGGGCTGAAAGGTGTGAGTTAGAAGTAGAAGAAAAGCTGAGCTGTCATGACATTACAAAGACATACAGTGATACCGCACTGGCTCTTTACTGTGCTCCTAAATATAACTTTAAAAGTGCTTTAATTAGGGAAATCAACACCTAGTAAACAAAGAATAACATTCAGCCCTTGAATGCAGCCAAGACAGAGTTCAGTGATCAAAGAGACAATGTTGCACTAAAGTCTTCTCCAGCTAAACTAGAACCCATATGATGATTCAAAACTATCACTACCACTTTCCAAACCACATAGATTTGATCAGCAATCTGTATTGGCGTTAGGCAAAATTGACATAAAAATGTATCATGATTAAATGTGGCATTCAGCTGATAACTAATATAACTAATATTGAAAGACAGTTTGGTTGCATGTGGCAGACGTGGCTTTGTTCTGTATTTTCTGGCTTTCCTCGTACTGCTTAGGTTTATGCAGGTGTTTCAGGTGAATAAATACGTTTGTAGGGTTAGGGTTAGCTGCTTCATGCTGCTGGCCTCATGTACGCCTGATACTGATAGTGCATTACACACAAACATATGTCATCAGATGGCATCAATTGTAGTAATTGCAAAGTGGTTAATATTAATTGTTGATAGTTTTACTGCTGATTAATTGCACATGGTACAATTTTGCCCAACCCTAATCTGTATTTACATTGCATGTATCTGTATCAAACCGTTCAATGCAGTACTTCAGGTTCAATACTCACTATGTATCAACCAATACAGATTTTTTWAATTTATTTTATCGACTTGTCTTCTGAAGATGCTCTGTGTTGAAGGCTCAGAGGATCTGTGTTTGACTAATTGATGCTGCATTGTTGAGCGCAGATCCACTGAGAAACTTGCTCCTTCAGCAACATTTAAGAAATGTACTTTTGAAGGTAAATAATTAATTTAAATAAATTTCAAGTTAAGAAGGGCATGGCAATTTCTCTTTTTTTGTATAAAAAATTGAACTGTGAGACTAAAGTACTGAACTGAACCGAATCGTGACTTTTTTTAATCGATGCACCCCTAGTATTTATGCATTTTCTTCATTTTAAGGAAGTCTTTATTAAACTTTCACACTGAATTGTGGGTTATCAGAGTTGTAAGAAAGGTTCAACATCACAGGTAGCAGCACCAGCCATTCCACTTGTGCTACACAACAAATCTTTAAGAGAGACTGTGTTAATATAGCTTAGCCTCTACTGTTGGAAAATCAGCCAATTAAACTCAACTCTTGAACAGAAATATGGTGTGTTAACGTATGAGCTTGCACACATATGATCAAGCACTGCCTGGTGATACCATCTGCTCTCTCCTCCAGTTTGCAGAMAGAAAGGAAGAAGGTRAAGATGGCATCAAGTATTTCTTAAGTTGGGAACAACTACACTTATCTCTTCAGATGCAATGAAACTCCTGAATCTAAGAAATGAGAAGTATTGTMCTACAAAACAACAACAAACATAGGGGTAAAAAGCTATATTGTGATAAGGTCTGATTCTCTGCTGGTATGTTCTGAACAACCAAACAAAAGCCCACTCTCCACGGGTGTGCCTGTATGTGGTTCTCCTCGTTTCAGCC